GCATTGGAATTCATCCATATCAGGATGCATCCTGTCCTTAGAAGCATTATTTTCTGTTTTTTGAATGTATCGAACAAAGTAAGTTACAGATAGCTACGACATTGGGTTTCGAATGAAGAGCCGAGAAAAAACTATAGGCGCTGAAAAGATTGATAGATAGTGTTCCCAAGGTAAAACTATTGTTTGATTCAGAACTTGAATAAATTTTGGCTGATTGAAACAAGATTGGTGCTCATGATGAGGATTCATCTTGAATTACATTCACCTAAAACATCAGTTCAAAATAATGAAAAATAATACTACTTCATGTTGGAGATCAAGCAGATACTCGTGTCCACAACTGTAAGTTACTCTCCGATTTGGTATATGACAATAACTTACAAGTTATGGGCGTCATTGAAAACTTGGTTAACGACCTACGATAAAAAAAAAAGATTACTTTCAGTAAAGAAATTGTTAATCATATAATCATACTTCTTTAACGTGATTGTATGCTCTATATAATTCCTTCTTCAATGCCAGATGTTCAGTTGGGCCTAAACAAGTACAAAATGGTCGAATAGTCTCATGTCTCGTACGTCTAGAAAATGGCACATGAGTTTTATACACTGTTTTCTTTCTTGTTCATCTTATTTTTCTCGATAGCAAACAAAGTAATATGTAGTTTCTTGCTTATAATAAGTGACTAAAAAATTTAGTTGCAAATAAAATATTCTCATCTATCTACTTTCATATGTTGCATTGTGGTTCGATTTCACTACAGTGGTCAGCATTCTAAAAGTACACTTTGAGTCTAATTATGGTTATGATTAACCTGATGCAATACAGTCTAAGTGCATCTAGGCTGATATATTTTGCAGCCAGAAAAAATGTGCTATATGGAATTTTTTTTTATAACTCTTGAAAAGTTTATATGAAACGTCTACATACATGTTATTTGGATGCGTTCGTATCTCTTCAATTAAAGATTTATCTGAAATCATTCTTCTCAGACGGGATTTAATCATTCAATAGGTCGCAATAAATTTAGATAACATTGCTAATCGGACATATTGCTGAAATCGAAGGTAGAATCGTGACAATATTAGAAACTTAATGAAATAAGATTAGAATTTTGATAGTCACTGCTTTATTCTAGTCTTCTCTTATTATTTATTTGAAACCGATGATAAGTAGATTCTTGGTATCTGCGAATACCTAGAAAGTTCTAGAGAATAAACTTTTTTTTAAATCTTCTTAAACGCGTCGCAAAGTTTAAGTTGACCACAGCGATTATCAAAATCACAACAAGAACTGGCAAAATCTCTAAGTGTAATAATGATTTTAAGTTGACTTTAAAGTCATAGACAATTCACAATGGCAAACTTAACATATGGAAGGGAAATTCGTATTGAGAAAACATCTTTTTTTGAACTGCTTCATCATGAGAATAGGCGATCGATACTATCGTCCGTATTTGAATATAACAAAAAACGTGTTATAGCTAAAAAACAAGACAGATTCATTTCTTTATATTTACTAATAAACTATTTTACCGACTGATTTGTTCTCTAGTAGTGAACTTCAATGACTTATGTCAATAATATAGACTGATGATTGAATAGACATATATTTTCTTAGTTCTCATTGTGACTGATGTTCATTCGAACTGTTGAAAAGAATGTAAAGCTTATTAGCAAAAACTTTTTTAGGCTCTTTAAACAAACTGATTCTCTATGAAATTTCTATAAAAAAAAAAAAGGTCAAACTTGATCATCACCATGCATTTGAAATAATAGTTTATGATTCTTTTCTAACATTTCTGTTGGTGACAAAAATTGCAGTCGAATAATTGCTAATCAAAGTCTTAACAATTCTTCCTAGAAATCGATAATCTAAATGAGAGATCTATTCCTTCTTGCTAAAAACATCATATTGAGTTAGATTTCAAGTACTGAATTATGGTTAACAAAACAGATTTTGTTATGTTCAAGTCTCAATTCAACAACTGATACAAATAAAGAAGAATCTATTTTCAGGAAGAGCCACTTGTCTCTTCAATATATGAATTAAATGACCTGCATGTAACTATTTCTATGTTGCTAATTAACAATTGAACATTCATGTTTTTTTGCTTATAAACCTATTTTTAAAATAAATCAATACAACAAAACTAACTACTGAGTATTCACCAACGCAAAAGAAAAAAACATTCTCGTTTTTTTTTGATACTGTTTAGTTTAGATGAATGAAAGATGTAGAAGACTGAAAGCATGAATAATTATTTTAAGTCACATTACTCTGTACAGAATTTGACTATCAACATTCTAGCTTTTGATTTTTCATATGTCGATGATTCGGCATGTTATCTTAAGATGAGTTATATCTTTTGATTCATCTAGTAAAACAACATCATTATTTGTCTTCTCTATTCACCATCATTCTCATCACACTTACAGAAACGAGTTGCATAAACACGATTCCTACTCTGTAATTTTATGATAATCGCGTTGTCGAGATTTTAATCTCATCGTTCTAAAGGACACCAAAGAACGTCAGATAAGACGTCTTCGCTGTGACTTATACATCGAATTTTTCATCGTACATAGAAGTTTCAAATAAAGACTCACTTTGATGTACGATGGCAGACATACTAAATACTTTTGTATGTATTGAAGTTAAATATTAATTCGTAACTTGTAAGTTACACTGAGTTATCGTGTAATGATCGTTGTAATCAAGATTCACTGTATGCTAGATGCAATAAATCTGAAATAGAAATATCATGTTGTTTAAAATTTGGTGGACAATGCTCGTTCCAATTAGTGGCAAAAGATGATATCAGTTCTACATCAAACATATTGTCTCAAAGAACGTAGGTGTGATCAATGAAATTACTATCTAATAAACATTTATGAAGCGATGATTCACAAGAATATTTGATCATTAGGATCGATTTTATATCGATCTCAATCGTGTCCAATGTGCAAGTCATATTAGTATTATGTATGAATTATTTAATAATCTTATTTTTGCTTTTCATATTACTCTAAAAAAGTCACTCACTACAACAAAATGAACAAAAAACCAAATATATGTAGAAAATTTTGTGTTGCAAACCTGTTGATGATATTTGGTGTTGTATATGTAGCACTATTTGCTTGTTTTATTGGTTGATTGGTTTTTTTTAACCTTCACAATAAGGTAAATTTATTCATTCTTTTATCGTTATTTTGTCTAGATTTTTTTTCTTTTTTTTGTTATACTCTCTATCGAGAACAGGCTTAGACAAGATGCACATATAGGCTTGTGCATCACAAAACATGTGCACGAGACGATAAGGCTGAGTGATTTGCAAGATATGGATGATCAAAAGAGAATAGAAAGAATAGATTGCTTTTTATTTTGAAACCTGTAATATGTTATATTCATGTATCTATATATAATTAAGCAGTTTCAAAAAAAAATTTCAATACTTATTTTCATATACCGATTGATATCGAGTTACTACTATTGTGCACACTCATCTTCGTATATGTCCTAGTAAAAATTGAAGTTTAGACATAATTAAACTTAGACAGAATTTGTTTTTCATTAGGCGCACAACTACGAAATAATTTTCTCTTTTTTTCCCTTAAAATAAATTTATATTCTCGTTTACATTAAAGAACCATGACATCCACTTGTTTTTTTTGAACTCGATAGTAGTCGTTTTCATTAATTCACATTGGTGCATAGTAGACTGACAAAACGATTGAATCCTTTTCAGAAGAGCATTCAGAAAGGGTTAAAGATCGCTAAGGTCCTGATATTTGAATTCAGTGTAGTGAATTGCATACATTCGTGTATGTTTTTACGAAATTGCGATTGATCACTTGAGAAACCTTCCTTGTTAGACCAAGCTTTGTCAATTTCATTTCTTCAATAATATATATTATGGAGTCAAAAACTCGATGAAATATTCCTATCGTATGGAATATGGGTAAGGTTGAAGACAACACTCACCTCCCACATTGTGTTCTATCATCCAATAAACATGGTAAATAGAATAATGGCGGAAAAAAACCTATTGTATTATCTGAGACGATTTCATATTCAAAAAAAATTCAATTAGTATTACATAGAGAGATAAGCTGAGAGAACAAACACACGACATCAAGGATTATGCAAATTAGAATCAAGTTTTTGTCTTATACAATATTATAAAATTACTTTAGTAGATACGTCATTCTCTGAAAAAAAGTTTTTCATAAGAACAGTCTAATGATGTAGTTAGTAGCTAGCATAGATTGCTAATATCTCGAGTACGGGTTTAGGACAGTTGCTCGCCGGACATTTGCTCGTTGCGGCACTTGCTCGTAAAAATGCTTCAAAGTAAATATTTGTATGAGATATACGAAAATATTCTTTAATCGTCCACGACATTTAAATTTTCTGGCATGTTCGCATTTTCATAATATTTTCTTGTCGTTTCGTTTATCATTAATGTAAGAATATCCGTCGTAAATAAGTAACGGAGCGTTTTTCGATGTTGTTGAAAGAGTACCTGATATGGTTGTTTTCTTAATGCACTGTTCTACGACTGACACTGCTTTTTATATGATTGTGATGATTGAATACGACTATTCTTTATAAAGACCGTGATCGTCAATGTGCTCTACAAACAGCCTATTAGTTGAGTCAATTTTGTTCTGAATTCTTTCATTGACAATGAAGAGTCATTTCACTCGCGAGCAAGTGTCCTAGTGAGCAAGTGTCCTAGCGAGCAACTGTCCGGCGAGCAACTGTCCGGATCCCTTCGAGTACTCTGTTTTTGAAAGAAATTGTTATCATATATGCGACACTTTGTTTTTCGTCGCTATTAAGATAATCTGTCATAAGCGAAATAAAAAGTAATAATACTTTATTCATAAAATATTCTTTAATAAAGTAAAATCGCTTTTGACAAAAATACATCGTTATATAATTGTTTCATTGTTCGAATACAAAAGTTAATATCTTTTGTAATGAATAGTATGTTATTAAAATCGAGCGAATGATGCGCTTGGGATTAGTAGTTGTGCAATACTTAAATAGAAAAAGAGTTCGAAAATTAAAGTTATTACGATAGGAATGATATTCGTACCGTCTGGAAAAATAAATATAAGTACCAATTGCTATTCCACTAGTTATTACCATACCAAAACCTAAACCGAGACCTAAACCTAATTTTACTTGTCTTAATTCATCTTCAAGATCTTGACAGGTTGGTTTTGATAAACTAGTAGTTGCTGTTGGAGGTGATGATGATGTTGCAATGGTTGTAGTAGGACAATGTATGCTAGTATTGGCGCCCGTTACACAATCCTCTTGCCAGCATATATCAAAACAGCGTGTAGTTGTAGTTGTCGTAGTAGCTAATAAAAATATAATATACATATGTATGAATCATCGATCTGCTCAGAATTTGACATTATTATATGACTAGCTTGATAAAGTAGGCAGAAACATTTCAACTTTACATAAATATTTATACATAGAGAAAAAATGTGTATCTTATAGACTAAATGTATCAGTTTTCGTTTAAGAGTTACTCAACTCTTTCGAGAATAATAGATAATTTTAATAACAGCAACAACATATTTGACATACAAGAAAATTTCTATTGAAATACCAATTAGAAAGTAAAGTTGATTAACAGATCCGTTAACCATCAATGTTTTTTGTTCCTTTGCAACTTCAAGTTCAATAGAGAATAACTGTGATGATTTTATATTTGTGTTACCTAGGAGATTATTTTATTCGCATTCCCACTGTAAGTGCAAATACTTTTATTCAGGTAACTTACTGCGATTCGAGATTCTTTTTTTTGTTAAACCTACTTGTAGTCGTGGTCGTCGTAGTTGTGGTTGTCGTAGTTGTGGTTATCGTAGTAGTCGTAGTGGTAGTGGTAGAAGTAGTACTAGTACTGGTGGTGGAAGTACTTGTACTTGTAGTCGAAGTGCTGGTGCTAGAACTGCTGGTACTAGAACTTGTGGTGCTAGTACTGCTGGTAGTCGAAGTGCTGGTGCTAGAACTGCTGGTACTAGAACTTGTGGTGCTAGTACTGCTGGTAGTCGAAGTGCTGGTGCTAGAACTGCTGGTACTAGAACTTGTGGTGCTAGTACTGCTGGTACTAGAAGTGGTTGTGCTAGAACTGCTTGTAGTCGAGGTACTGGTAGTCGAAGTCGAAGTTGATGATGTTGAACTTGATGAGGATGTACTTGTAGATGTACTAGTTGCTTTTTTTAAAGAAAAGAATATGCATGGGTAAAAACTGATCAAAAATGCATTCATAATTGGTTTTATCGAAGAAGTATCAAATCGTTAATGTGAATTTTATAATTCGAATTTTAATGATTGTTGAGCGACAAAGAAAATTTTGAAAAGAACTCTATCAAATTTGAAAGATAATTGAAATCTGTATGATAGAAAAAAAGAAAAACTATCTATGATGCAATTTGTTACGATTTAAAAAACTAGCTAACACGTTTTTCTCAGCTAATATTAATGTACACTTTCATTTTTCGAAAAGAATTAAAATAAATCTTAAATAAAAAAAAGAAAATTTCTCGATTACCAATGAAAGCTCGTATTCAAAGAGTTTTACATATGACAACAATTTTGACTTTGTAGTTCATTCTATTTACTTGAGGATGTAGTTTCGGTTGATGTTGTAGAGGTTGATGTAGACGTTGTAAATGTTGTTGTTGACGTCGTCGATGTAGTCGTAGTTAATGTTGTTGATTCTGAAGTTGTTGTGGTCGATGTATCTGTAGTAGTTGTAAATGATGTTGTTGATGTTGTCGTTGCAGAAGTCGTTGTTGTTTCCGTTACTGTTGTAGTTGATGCAGAGGTCGTTGATGAGGTTGTTGT